ATAATATCCACTAGTAAAGGAGCACAGCAAGTTTAAAGAGAAACACAGAAACAAGACAAAAGACATTTATCGAGATAAATCCACTGAATTCTTACTGAAACGAGAGCTGAGCCCCTCCTCCACTTTTTACCCAGGACCTGATGGTGGGCGACGAGGCCAGCGAGTGTCGCTCGATGCTGGAGGTGTCCTACCCCATGGAGAACGGCATGGTGCGCTGCTGGGAGGACATGCTCCACCTGTGGGACTACACCTTCGGCCCAGACTGTCTGAACGTCGACCCAACTCAGTGCAAGGTGCAAAGAAACAGCAGATGTCAGATAGAAAGAAAAAACTGGAGAAATGGTCAAACACATAAAACCTTCTCACACTGACTGAACGTCTTCTCAAGGTCCTGCTGACTGAGCCGCCCATGAACCCCACCAAGAACCGGGAGAAGATCGCAGAGGTCATGTTTGAGAAGTACCAGTTCCACGGCATCTACGTGGCGATTCAGGCCGTGCTCACTCTCTACGCTCAGGGTGAGACATCAGCAGCTTTTGGATGTTTACACTTTCCTAAATTTAAACTGGTGACTCGTCTTTCCTCCTCAGAGCAGCTTTGAGTTTAATTGGTTCCTGCTGAGAAACGAAGGCTTCGTTGATGACGGGATGTTTCTCTGGGGTCCTCAGGTTTGCTGACTGGCGTGGTCGTCGACTCAGGGGACGGTGTCACCCACATCTGTCCGGTGTACGAGGGCTTCTCCTTACCTCACCTCACACGCAGGCTGGACATCGCAGGACGTGACATCACGCGCTACCTCATTAAGGTGGGACGGAGAGAAGAGAAAATAAAATCTGTGTTTGTTTCTGTCAATTAAATCCTTTCTCATCTTCCCACCATCAGCTCCTGCTCCTCCGCGGTTATGCCTTCAACCACTCGGCCGACTTTGAGACCGTGCGCATGTTGAAGGAGAAGCTCTGCTACGTGGGATACAACATCGAACAAGAGCAGCGTCTGGCCACAGAGACCACCTACCTGATGGAGTCGTTCACGGTGCAGTGACCAGAACTATTTATTCATGACACACACATCACAAAGAACTTAGTATGTTCAGGATCAGAAACCAAGCTTCCTGTTTCCCTGGAGCAGCTTCCCGATGGCCGACAGGTGAACGTGGGCGGGGAGAGGTTCGGCGCTCCTGAAGCTCTCTTCCAGCCCCACCTCATCAACGTGGAGGGAGCGGGAGTCGCCGAGCTGCTGTTCAACACCATCCAGGCCGCAGACATCGACCTCAGGTCCGAAACACCCACCAAACGAGCTAAAACGTTACTCGAAACCCAAATTTGTTTCTGCAGCAAAATGGAGCTTGGTCGTAGCTCCTCTCTTAAAGAGACAGGAGCTACGACCGAGCGTTTGAGACAGAGACTGAACAGAGGAGCTGCAGCGATGGACAGTCTGAGGAACGTTCTCAGTTCATATTTAAAACCTGAACATGAGCACGTCTCCTTTAGTGAAGCTGTACGACTGAAGAACGACTTTGTCTGACGTCCCCTCTGTGTTTGTTGTGTTCAGGGCAGACTTCTATAAGCACATCGTTCTGTCGGGGGGGTCGACCATGTACCCCGGCCTCCCCTCCAGGCTGGAGAGGGAGATCAAGCAGCTCTACCTGGAGCGAGTGCTGGACGGAGACACACAGAAACTCTCAGTAAGAACAGTGCGGTTGAGACGAAGGGTTTAAAGTGTCGATAATCTGGGCTTTAACACGCAGGATGTTAGATAAGAGGTTAAATTACGCTTCTATAAGAGCGTCGCATAAATGTCATGAAGGTTCATTCTGGAGTCATCTAGTAATATAGATATATAGATATATATATATATAATGCTGATTGTATGTTATTTAGTTCTGTGTTTAAATTGCACCCCCCCTCCTTTCTGTCCCTCTACCTGTGCAGAAGTTTAAGATTCGCATCGAGGACCCACCCAGACGCAAACACATGGTGTTCCTAGGTGGCGCTGTGCTGGCCAACATCATGAAGGACAAGGACTCCTTCTGGCTGAGCAGAGCCGAGTACGAGGAGAAAGGCCTGGGGGTTCTGCAGAAACTGGGAGGTGGAGTCAGATAAAATAAAAACCTTTATGAATAATGGTGTCACTGAAAAAAAGTGAGACGTCACTGAAATATTTCCATTTTTACATCAGTGAATAGTTTCATGTGCTGGATTCATTGATTAACAATCAATCTGTAATTCAACTACTGTTACAGACTGTTTTTCATATTTGACAAACATTTTATTGATCAGATATTAAGAATGAAGAAAGTATTTTCATGAAAAACAGATATTTTTGAATAAATGTTATCACACATGCTAATTAGGTCTTGTGCCGTCTTTCATGAGTTAACTGAATAAAAAGTGAGAGAGTTTGTGTTTGCTTCCCTCTGGTGGTTGACCATCTTTATATTTTCTTGTCAACCACTCAAAGCACTTAACGTGTAGACTGGAGGTGCCGGGGATCAAACCACCAACCTTCTGGCTAGTGGATGACCCTCTCTACCTCCTGAGCCGCACTCGTCCCTCAGTGAAAACCTCATGTATGGACACCACAGGACAGATATTGCAATTTTTATTGCGATACTGAAGTTACCTGACAAAAATACATCGTAATGTCTTTTACACAGAAAAGAAATAGTGAGCTGCCACAATGAACACATGCTTCACGTACCACACCACCGAGGAACCGTCACCAGAAATGAAAAGAGCATGCAACAATGTTCAGAAACACGTCTCCCCCGGCTGCTTCGAAAAAGATACGCTGAAAATCCACACCAAGGTTTGATATTATCTACGAATCCAACAATCAAGAGTTAGTTTTTAAAATTACACAATATGATAAGTGATAGTGACACTGAGTGGAACAGTCAGCTGAGGACTTGCAGCAGGAGCCACCAGAAGGAGCCGGTGACGTTTGGACATTCAACCACCTCGAGGGTCCGGGGTCGTCGGTCAGAAGCGTCCCCTCGGCTGTGGGACGGCCCGGAGAGAAGAGAGCAGAACTCAAAAGCGCTGGATTGAAACGAGAGGAAAGATCGTAATACATTCACAAGTCCGTCAGTGACTCGCTGCAGGTTCTGTGGATGTTTTAGATTTTTATCTCTGCACCTGCAAACAACATGGAGAAGACGCGAGGGAGGAGGAGGAGGAGTCTTCTCCACAGAAATACAAAATAAAACCGTCTGTGGGTGATTTTAAAAATAGTCGACTGATTTAAAGCTTCCCTCGTTCACCTGCTGAGTCACAAAATGGCGTCTCTGTTTTCGTCACTTTGGTTTTGAGGTTTGTACCCCCTCCCCCCTCCCCCCCCTCCATCCATCCAGAGATCTGCAGACGTTTACGCAATAAAAGTGAAGCATTAAAACATCCAAGTGTCTGTTATACTTTGCCCAGAGCGATACCGTGAGAGGGTTACATCACCACCGTGCACTGGTCGCCTTCTTGCGTGGACAGGAAGTGGGTTTTTGTTTCCAGGCAACAATAGTGGCACAGAATTTGTCTTTGGATTTGAGCCTCCTCACGTGCTGATGATGTAATCCCCTCATGGTACAGGCTATACTCTGGGCTCATGTTTCAAATAAACAACCAAATCCATTTATTACACATTTTCCATGTCACAAACAGAAAACTCCTCCAGGCTCCAGCCGCACTGATCAGTCTCTACACGTGGGTGTGGCCCCGCTCCGTTTGGGGAAGAGTTTACCATGTCTGAGTCCGGAGAAGGTTTTCACAAGTCCTGACCCACGACGAGACACAACACACTGCCGGAGAGAAAGAGACAGAACAAGAGAGAGAGAGATCCACCACCATCCTCCTCCGCCTCCTCTTCCTCCCTCCTTTCTCCATCCCTCCCACTCACTCCTCACACACCGACTCGCTCAGGTCCACGGCGCCACCCCTGGTGAGCCGCCGCATCTTGCTGAAGTCGTGGTCGGTCCTCAGGTAGGAGAGCGAGGGGCCCCCCTCGCTGTGGCCCGCCAGGTCCTGGGGCTGGGCCTGCGGCGGCAGGGCCCTCATCTCGCCGCCGCTGCGCCAGTACAGGGTGTATTGCTGCGGGTCGGACACGCCGAAGGTGGCGGCGCACAGCTGCGCCAGAGCCTGGCTGCTCTCCCCGGCTCTCCACTGCAACGTCCGCACAGCGCTGCGCTCCCCGTCCTGGAACAGTATCCGCACGCACCTCTGGAGGGAGGGAGGGAGCGAGCGAGGGAGGAAAGAGAGAAAGAAAAAAAAGAGAGTGAATATACTGTGTTCATGCAAAGCAGAGGTCAAGAGGCTGATGGAGAGAGGTCAAAGGAGGGGGAGGAGAGAGGGATGGAGCCAGAGGAGGAGAGAGAGAGAAGAGCAGGCTGATAGAGCACAATCAAAGAAACCCTCTGTAAAACAAAGCTTCATCCTCCCACACAAACATGAGCTTCATGTGGAAACTGCTCTTCTCTCCGCTGCACGTTACAGGATGAATCCACTTCATTCCAAACAAACACGACCCGTCGAGCTACCTCCAGCTTCTGGTACCAAACTTTCTGACGTCTTCCAAAGAGCAAAACCACACAGAGAGCTCAGCTGCGTCCGTTCACACACTGACAGCAACTGTCCTGCACCTTATTACATAATGTCACCGTGAACCACAGACACACAAGTCTCTTTAAAACACACACACAATGAGAACACACACTGAACACCATCCTTTAAACAACTTGGAGAAACCACTGAGAATCATCTACTCACACAAACACACTCCAGCCATCACACAACTCTGTCACACACAGATACACAAGTGGACAAATATGCACACACACACACACACA